AGGTGAAAGTGCTTGGCAGGTCGCGCTTTGCCAAGCTGTTAGCAATTTGGTCGACAACCTCGTTACCTTTGACGCCCTTGTGGCCTGGGCACCAGCGAATTGCGATTCGCGCTTGTGCAAAAGTAACGGCGAGGTATGAAAGGATCTTGAAAGTTTCCTTTCTGTCGAGCAGTGATGTGATGGAGGGCGGACAATTGCCTAGGTCCTTGATGACCGATTGGTTGTCCAAGATGATTGAGATCCGTTTTGTGTTCAAAGTTGCCACTCGAAGGGCGGTCGCGAGGCCTAGTTGAACGCCCTTATACTCAGCCTGGTAGATGCCATGGAGTCGGGCCTTGCCTAAGTGCTGGGCAAGAGATGTGTTAGTATTTTGGCACCAAGCCGCCGCTGCGGTGTTTTTTGTTGGTATCCGTGAGCCGTCAGTGTAGATAATGAGGTGTTCCTGAGAGTGTTTGAGGTTCGTCGTGCCTTTGATGGCTGCTTTCTCGTCGTCTTGGATGATGGTTGAGAAGTTGGGTGGTCGTGTTAAGGCGGCTGAGGGGTCCACAGGTAGTTGTGTGGTGAATTCGTCAAATTCTCTGCCCAACTCGTGTTGGAAGAACTGGTGGAACACATTACGGTGTGACCGAGGTTTCGACACCTGTGCTTGTTGGATAACAGGAAAAAGGGGGTGGGAGTTGGGTTTAGCTAAAGAAGCGGCGATAAAGTTCATCGTCTTAGCTTTGAGCCGGGTTCCTGGTTTGGTCAGGTTCATGTCGTGCTGGAGGAAGGGGCGAGGAGTGGTGTGAAGGGCTCCCAATGCCGCTCTTGCGACGGTGTTGTCTACGGTTGAGAGATGATCGAGGAAATATTGGGGGGGGTTGAGGGGGAGCCACGCTGCGACCCCGTAGTCGGTGGCGGTGTGAACTGTGGTGACGAGCAGGGTGCGCATCAGGTGTGGTGGTATGCCCCATTCAGATTTCGTTAAGGAAGCAATGAAACCTGACCGAAGCTTTCCTTTTGCAATGACGTCTCGGCGGTGTTGTGAGAAAGTGAGTTGGCTGTCGAATGTCACACCAAGCCACTTAGCAGAGTCGTGGGGGTGAAGGTTCTTTCGGTCTCCAAAATCAATCGTCGGAGTGGGGATGCTGGCATTGAGCTTGTTAGGGCTGAAGATCATCCAGTGACTCTTCTTTGTGTCGAAGATGGCACCATGTCGTTCAGCCCACTTGATTTGTCTGAAGGTGAGTGTTTTCATCTTTGATTGGAGCTGGTGTGTGTCGGCCGCAGACGCGAGTAAGATTACGTCGTCTACAAAGCCCAGTGCCTCGGCCCAAATCAAGGGGTCAGCGATGTCAAGAAGGGAGGAGTTGTAGAGCAGATAAAGAAGAGGGGACAAGGGCGAGCCCTGGGGTAGTCCGTGGGTTAGATCGAAACCGGATGATTCGAAACCGTTGAAGGCCAACCGCGTTGATCTTTCTGATAGAAAGTTGTTGATGATGTTAAGCGTTTCCGAGTGGACGCCTTTCTTTTCTAACGTATCCATGAGCCGGGGGTGGTGGACCGATGGAAATGCTGACTTGACGTCGGCAAACATCGCACCTACCATATTGCCCTTAGACCACTCTCCTCGTATGAATGCGACGAGGTGGACAAGGGCCTCCTGGCTTGACCTGTTTGGTCGGCCGCCGTAATGGCCACGGT